GTGTCACATAAAGCAACTTAGATCAATAAAACAAATTGTGCTTGCAGGAGTAATTACATATTGGACTTTAATCAGTTGTTGAGTTCAGGCAGTTCCTATATCACAACTTACAGAAAAGCAAGACCTTTGTTGGTATCACTATTCTCTTTATAATAATCTTGACCATGAAAAAAGCAAAGTCCCCCTTTATTATTATTTGGTTTAGGAGATAACGTTTTCTTCCTCCAAATATTTTACTGATACATAACACAAAATAAATCTAAACAAACAGACAACATTGCTGGCCAAAAATAATTTGAATTTGTAACTATATAACTGCCTTCTGCAAACTGTTCTACTACACCCCAGCCTCAAACTAGTAAATAATGTAACTGTACATTAAAAAGGCAATGGTAAAATACATTCAACTGCAGGCTCTGAAACAAAATGTACCAAAAAAAGCAAGCAGAAGAAATAATTAAAACAATTTAAATTTTACTTTTCTCTACTAAACATACTTCTCACTGAGTACTCAAATTAACCTTAATTCCTTCTTTATGTACAAGAAATTCCTCACTGTATCTAGTCACTTTAAAATGGAGAGACAAATGCTGCTACTTTTAATGTGGAACTCAAAAAACAGAACACAACTCATATGTTATATATTTATATATATGACAGCAAGCTCGTAGTTGTAATTTAGAAATACAAGCTTATAAAAAGAATACAATACGTTCTTCTAGAATCATAATGTTCAACTGATTAAAATATAAGCTTTTCATGCAGTTTTCGTATTCATACACTGCTGGTGGTCAAGTAATGACACTGTTTACATTAGTTTGCAACACACACTACAAATTTTTTATTTAAAGTAAGTGTTTCTCACTTGAGTGCCTGGCTCGAAATCAGGATGTGTGAATGGTCCAGATCGCTCGAGGAATTTCTTTACATGGTTCCAGCGACCTTCCCAGTCTCCAGTGTCCCCACACCCACCATCAACAGCCATTCTGCACAGAACACAGTAAATTCAGCTGCAAAATCATAGAGATAAAGCCACACCTCCAAAATGTTGGGTTTTTTCTTTATATATCTTAGAAATACCTAAATTATTTACCATTCATACAAATGCCTCTGCATATTCTTTATGCATATAAATTATGTGCATGGACATTTGCATAGGTGGGTTTTATTTGTGGAACTAGAAAGCAATACTACAAATATGCACAGAGGCGAAATAACCCAAGCATTTCAACAAATACCACTGAATTAGCTGTTACTAGTAAAAGTTGACCTGAAGAGAAAAAAGGGTCTAGCCTTTTTGCTTTATTTCCCTCATGTTTAAGGGACACAGAAAAAGTGGTTTTCCCTTTAGATTTTGAGGGTGATGTTTTCTTTCATCAGAGTCAAGTCTTGTATCCTTTTTTTGGCACTTAAGTTCATAAATCACATTCAGGATTATCAGTATGTAACTGCAGTTGTGAGGCACTGAATAAATAACACTAACATGCCCCAACACTTCCTCCTCCTAATCTTCATAGTAGTTTATTTAAACAACTGTTAAAAAAAATAACCTTGAATGCTCTTCACCCTCAATTATTACTATGTAATTTAGAACACCCCAATCTTTCAGTCATCTCCTGAGACTGTCTGTGGTAGCAGTCTCACTTGAAAAAAGGAATGTTCGCAGTTATCTTCTTTTAAATTTTCAGGACAGAATTTTACATCAAATACTCCACTACCTTTTTTCTGCTTTTGCAGGTCACTTTTAGTAGTACATAACTAAGTTTAAACTGTGAAGAGACTTACTGGAATAGTTCAAAATCAGCTCTCTGAAGTAACTTTCTAATGTAAGATCATCACCTACACAGAACAAGCCCTTCCTTAACAGAATACACTTCCCTTTTTAAACAGGAGTGCCACTCAATATGTATGAATGATTATGTTCTACGTTAACACAAAACTAAGCTTGTTATAAAAGAGCGTGCCAATCCCAAGTATGAAAGGTTATATCATCAGTGATAAGGAGCATTATTTGCTTCTTCTTGTGAAGCAATATGAAGAACTCTTGTATCAATAACTTTTGTTGGGTAATGTTTAGAATTTATTATTACTTCCTGATGACTCATCTCAAAAAGGAAAATATAGTGAAAACATATAGACAGTGGATGCCTTTATCCTCACAGAATGCAGAAGATGGACAACACAAGACATCTGTAGTAACTTTAACTTAGAGGCAATTAATTTTGCAAAAGACTTCCAGTAACAGAGAAAAACTTCACTGAAGTGCAATAATAAATACATCATAATTTGCCTATATTTTGATTGCAGATTGAATCCATTTCTGGTTAAATTGACTTTAGCTAAATTACCATATAAACAGTTAAATAAGATCTACAAAATTTATTCGCATTCATGAAGGTCTTTTGATTTGTGACTTGCACTTTTGCATCTCCTCTAGTTTTCACAATTTATATCAAAAATTAGTTTTTAGGAAAGTGTGAATAAATGTGACACTCCCTCCACTGAACTCTGGGCTCATCTACTGGATACCAGTTTTCAGGATGCGTATTAAGCACTCACGCAAATAAAATGGTTCAATAAACATCATAGTAATTGCTTCTATGGACTACATTGTAACTTTTAACTTTTCCAGAAACAAGTGCAGAACCTATGTGTGGTGACATTAAGAATTTTTTTTTAATCCTTTTATACAGTCCATATAAACAACCATCAGACAGCAGTACTCCTTTTCTAGTTAGATGTGTATTTTCCTTTATAAGGGATAAAATGGTAAGATCTAGTTTCACTTTTGTGATTATACTACAGTTTGTTTTCTACAGGATTGGACTTTGTGGAGATCTGAAAAGCATCGTCAATAACTCAAGCTGAGATTTTATGTTTAACTTCAGAGACAGCTTTTTTAAGTGTTTTTTAAGTGTTGCTACAGCATTACCAGGTATCTATATTATAAGAGTTTAACAAAATTCTTATTTAATCAAATTAGTTCTATTTTTTGTTTAAAATATCAGAGCACCACAGCCTTTTTGTTGTGTTAGGCCCAGACTTTTCCCTGCCACCTTCACATCTCCAAAGCATGCTTCTGAGGGACTTGGCATGCACCCCCCCAATCCAACATGCCCAAGGAACGTTGTGACCCTCACCCCAAAACACACACGCGCAGCCTGTGAGTCCGCTGCTCAGGCAGGCAGGTCTGCTTCGTGATCTTTGGGAGGAGGGCCACAAGCAGATGGAAGGGAATAGTTAGGGGATGGAAGCAGATGAGGTTAAAGATTTCTGAGCGTTAGTTTTCAAGGCCGTTAAGATGGATGCATAGAATGTAAGGTTTTAATAAGCAGAAGCAACTGTTCTGCAGCCTGAATTTTTAATTTTCAGCCAAAGTTTAGTCACCTGCTTCTAGGCTAGAGGCCCTCCCCAGCACCCTGACCGGCCACACAGCTCTTCCCGCTCCTGTCACAAAGCTCTCCAGCACACCAGCCTTTACTCATGCCAAGCTCCAAGCCCGCAAACCCCCCATCCCCACGCCGGGTGAGCCCCTTGGTCCTCTCCCCAGAAGACGCCTCTTCCCCAGTCCTCGCTGTTCAAGCACCCTTTCGCCTTCCCCCTCCTCGCACTGACACCCCCCCCCCCCCGCCTCCCTCCCCCCGGGCCGCGCACCCGCGGCCGCCAGCCCCTCTCCCGCGGGCCCCGCAGCCTCCTCCCAGCCCGCACCTTCCCCGCGGGGCTGCGGCTCGCCCTGACCTACCAGCCGCCCCTCAGCAAGCGCTGCCTGCCCCGGAGCCCGCTCACCCGCAGCCCCGCACTAACCCATCCGCCAGCAGCTCCTCTAGCCTCCTTCTTTTCTTCTCCCTAAAAGAGAGAGAATAAAAGAAGGGTCAGTATCGCGCTACAGAGACCGGGGAGGAGGGAGAGGGGACCCCGGGGCCCACCCGTCCCCGGGAAGCGAGGGAAGGGGCAGCCGAGCACACACATACAGCGCACTTACGGTTCCTCACCATCCGCCATATTTCCCTCTGCTTCCCACAATGCCCCGCTGTATGGGCGGGGCATTGCCAGTTGCGGGCCTATAGAGTTAGAGAAGGAGGGGAAGGGCGGGGGGGGGGTAAAGCGCCCGCTCGGGGCGCTGATCTCCATGGCAACAAGCCCCCCGAACCCCTTTTTCTCCCCCCCGCCCCGAGCCCTGAAGCAGAAGCCGGGGAGCCCCCAGTGACTGTGGCCGGCGGAGGGGCCCTTGCGCCTCCTCCCTCCCTCGCCGTGGGCAGCCGAGGGCTCCCCCCGCGGCTCCCCGGGAGCCCCGGGGCCAGAGCCGGGGGGCGATCGTGGCGCTTTGAAGCGCCCCGGGATGCACGGAGCCCAAACGCGGAGGTGGGATTAGCCTCCGTCTGTCCGCTGCCCGCCACCCGAGCTGCGTGTTCAAGTGGTTTTTGTCTTACCAGGGCAGGGGCCGGCCTGGCCGTGCCCACGGGCTGCCCTGCAACCGCACACAAACATGCTGCTACCCATCGCAGCCTTCCGTCTCCAAAACCAACCCAAGGAAGCAGGCGAGCAGGGCTGCGCTTCTGGCCCCAGGCTCCTAAACTTTAGGGGTACGAACCCTTCGCAGGCAGAGCTGCGAGAAGCTGCTGCCAACCTGCCAGCGCTATGGGCGCATTCGTGATAGCGCTGGCCTCCATTTTGGGGTGGACATCGTTGCCCGGCATGGCGGCGCAGCAGGCCCGGGGTGGACGTGCGAGACACGCGTGTGCTCCAGCCGCCATGGCACGAAGCGTGAAAACAGTGACAGAGCAACTGTTCACCGTGGGGCTGCTGCCACTGGCCCTCCCCTCCGAAGCGGGAGGGTTTGGGGTGCAATCACCCCACTAGCAGGGTCTCCCCCCCCCCCCACGGGTGCCTCCTTGGCTGGAGCTCCACGGCCCCCTCCACGCTCGGCCCCCCCCCCCCCCGTTTCCTGAAGGATGCGAACGGGATTCGCCGTGTGAATGTTAAAACGCCGCTCATCTTTTTTGCTGAAGGAACTACGAAACACGCAGCGGCCGCTGACAGCGGCAGCGCTACGCCCCGGCCAGCCTCCCTTCTCCTGGGCGGGCGCGGCGCGACTCAGGCCGCTCCTTCCCGGTTCCCCCGGCCTGCCCTCCCCGCCGCGGGAAGCGGCGGCCCGGAGGCCGGGGCCGCCCCGGGGCGGTACCGCGGCGCTTTGCAGGCCTGCGCGGCGGGGGCGGCGGCAGCCATGGAGGTGCAGGTTGCGCCGTTGCGGGCCTGGGACGACTTTTTTCCCGGTTCGGATCGCTTCGCCCGGCCTGACTTCAAAGACATCTCGAAATGGAACAACCGGGTGGTCAGCAACCTGCTCTACTACCAGACCAACTACCTGATGGTGGCCGCCGCCGTCGTCTCCATCGTGGGGTCAGTGCGCGGACCTCGCTCGCCTTCCCGGGGCGGGGGCGGCAGGTTCGGGGGGGTGGCCCCGGTCCCCGGGAGAGGGTCCGACCCGGCCTTGGGCGCTGCGCTGCCGGGTGGGGTGTCGGGGGTGCAGGGGCAGGGAAGCTGCCTTTCCCTTCCTCTGCCTTTCCTTAAACCTCTGATTTACCTCGTGTCGCTTAAAAAATTAAGGCCTGGTTACAGCCTCCCTTGTTTATGTGTCTGCGTGTGGGGGGGCTTGTTAGCTTAGGAGTAGGTTTGGGAATTTATTTATTTGTTGTTGGGGGCGTCTAACAAATCTGAGGACTCGCTCTTATTTTTCTCTTCCACGGACTGCTCGTCAAGGCGCGGTGCCCAGGGGAGGGGGCTCCTGCGCCTGGCGGAAAGGGGCGGTGATGGGTTTGTGTGCTGGACGCCGCTGCTCTGAAAAACTGAGCTGGACCCTGCGCAGCGATCTGCGCTTCCTTACTAAATCTGCCCAGGGTGATTGCTCAAGCTGAGATAAGCCTCACTTTGAATTTAAAAAAAAAAAAAAAAAAAAAAAAAAAAAAGAGAGAGATAAATTCTGCTTTCTGTTACAATTCTAAGCATGTGTCCAGGGACAGAGCAAGCCTTTCTTATTTCTGACCTAGCCCGTACTGAAACACCTTTAATATAAAATAAATAAGCTACCCATTCATTTCATTTTGGTGGGCAAGACCGAGATCTTTGAGGCAGAACCATCTGCTGGTATGATGTTCTGTCAGGCTCAGTTTTCCTGAAGAGAATTGGTAAATAACCTTATAATCATCTTTTGAATCAAAGCCTATGTGATTGTTCCTCAAATATTTATCCAGGATCTTTGGTCAGAAAGCTCTTAGGGAAGACGAACAGCAGAGGCTGATGATTAAGCTTTTAATATGGAAACTGGAATACTCCACTCTTCACAGCAGACAATGCGCAAATGCAAATGCTTAAATTGGAGAATTGCCCAGCCACTAGGCCAGAGTGGCTTTGGCTGAAGAGCATCTTATCTTGTATGTTGCAGAGGCTTAAAATTCTTCCCCTAAGTGTTTTGTTTTTTGTTTTTTTTTTTTTTTTTTTTTAAGCAGTCAGCATCACGTTAAGGCTTCTGAAGCTGTTGACCCAGCATATAAGTTGGTGAAGACTTTGGATTGCAGGGAGCTTTGGCCTGTGCTCTGTGAAAAGAGAGGCTGAGAACCCTGCTTTTTCTTCTTGATAGATGACAGTTAAAGGTTTGGCATAGTGGCATAGGCTTACCTCTTAATTTTGATGAGGATATGTTGCAGACAGCTCAATAGATTACTAGACTTAGACTGGTAAAATGAGACTTACATGGTCTTGCTGTTCTTATACTACCTTGGTGTAAACTTCTGTGTTCATCTACCCCTGTTTAGCAGTGTGATGCTGTAGCTAGCTCTCAATGATTAGGTAAATCACAGTGGCCCTGGAAAACAGACAGCTCTTCTCCCCAAGAAGGTACGGAACAAAATGCAAACAGTTTTAATATCTCTGGTTGGAAAACTGGGATGGCAGCAGCTTTTCTCAGTCTCCTAAATTCCTCATTTTAAACTCTGATTTCTTCAGATCAAGAGTGATATATCTCCCACTTCTCTTTCTACTATTTTGCTGGAGTGGGAGGTGGAAGAGAGCCACAGGAGATGGAGATTAGTGTCAGAACTGTAATTCTAGTATCTTAATATTCAGTGGTTACTAACCCTCTGAGTTGAAAACATGGATGAGAAACACCTGAGGTAGGATCTTGACCTCAATTATTTTTTTATTGCATGGCTTGGTGCCTAAGGTATGTGACAAATCTGATTCTTCTAACAGTGAAGTAAAAGAGGATTTGGGAACAACTCGAAAGGAAACAGGATAGCACTAGAAAAACTATCCATTTCTCTTATTGAAATGATTTTTCACCTGGCTAGACTGTAGCTTTGAGAGAAAGGTAAAGAAAGTTCTCCCGATAAATTTAAATTGGTGACTAAGTTGTTGTCTTGTACTTCATTCTGTAATGGGCAGGAATCTCTGAGTGATAAATGATGAATCATGGCTTTTTAGGAACTCCAGGGCTGTATACAGGCCTAAGGGCAGGACTATTGAAACAGCTAATGAGGTGGTCTTCCTGTGATCAAAACTAAATTTAGCCCATGACCAACTGTACCTGTTCTTAAACCACCTAATTATGTAGACAGACTTGTAATGCAGAGATTATATTTTCAGCTATTTTAATACTTGGTAGCTGTGGGGGTGCTGGGCTAACATGGAAATTGTAGCCTAGAGCTTTCTTGATATTGGAAGTACAGTGCTTATTGCCACAGCTTCAATTTACTGCCTCTTGTACAACACAGTTGACCTCTCCAGGCTTTTACCATCTCTCTGCAAGGGATGGAATAACCTTACTATGAGCATAGTAGAACTGTAATGGTCTCTAATGCATCTTTTCCCTGACTTTCTTCCTCTGTTTGCATTCTCTGATAGCTGTTACATGTAAATTACATTATGTGCTTTGCAATAATTTAAATTTTACTTTCCGCCTACAGGACTAAGTAGAAAATAAAAAAAATCTGTGAACCAGGAAGTGAAACTACTGAATTAGTGCTGCTCTACTAATACAGGTAGCAGCCTTGTCTCTTCCACCTTCCCCACCCTGCAGATTTCTTTAAGAATAAATCTGGACTAGTGTGCCGTTTGTTGGGTTTGTTTCCTCCCCCCACCCATCTCCGTTGCAGTAGACTGGTGATAAAACCCAAGTTCTTTACTAAATCAAATTGTGCCCTTTCTCCCAGCTGTATAGGAACTGGACTGCCCATTCTTACCCTGAGCCAGGGCCCTGTCATTGTCAGTGCTGTACAGATACCTATTAAAATTAGTGCCTCTCACAACAGCTTGCAACTCTCTCTCAAACAATCAGTCTGGTCAGTAAGTGAAATTTGTCCATGCTTTCACCTACTCTAATAAGTCTTCTCTGTCTCTCAGTTCCAACCTAACTACTTAAATTGATGTAATTTCTTCTAGGCTTTTGTTGCCATGTACTTGCTGAAAATTAGTTTCTAAATCTGACAGTATTAAAAGGTGCACTGGATTTCAGAGTGCTGCATCTAAGAGTCTTCCCTGTAGCCTGAGGTTTGATGCCATTCCCTTGTCACTTCTCTAAAACATCTACTGTCCATCTGCAGTCAACAAGTGTGGGGTTTTCATTTTTTTTTTTTTCCCCCAGACCAATACTTTAGCTGACATACTTGTAGTGATTCCCTTGCCAAAACGAAGATGCCAGAGCAGCAAAATGCTTACTTTCTCTAATGCCTAATGAAAGTTTAAGGATGAGCAAGCAAAACACATTGCTTTAAAACATGTTGGATAATAACATTAGTATGTAACTTCATAAAGGTCTGGCAATTCTGCAGAAGGGAATCTGTCTCCTGTTCTCAAAGCAATGTAGGTGAGCAACAGTAAGTAAAGAAGCATTGCTAAATCTGTGCATGCTGAGGGCTATCACTTGGGACAGCATGCCATATATAGTTTTATGTGCTAGCTCTAGTTATATCTGTATAGCCTCATTGAAGCTAGAAGTATGGTGAGAGAAGGGGCAGAACTTTGTCTTTAAATTTATGTAAATTAATATGAATGAGGAAGGAAGCATTTAAGTGCTCTAACCTGCCCACTGCTTGGAACATGGTGGAGCACAAAGTTTTCTGAAAGGGAATTTTCATGCTTATTTGCTGTAATGGCTTAACTGTAAGTAAAAAGATGTTGTTCTCAATGACTGGAAATCTCCTACTCAGTGCCTTTGTTCAGACTTGCTGGGTCACATGCAAAAGAAACAGATGTGACAGCAACTCCTGAATAATCACCCTGAGACAATCATCTAAAATGGAGATGATTTGAGGATGGAGCTATCTTGCTTTTGCTTTTTACATGGCCTGTCCTACTTCTGAGCCTACGCTGCTGGAGACTTCTTGGCTCTCACAAAGGATGCGTCTTGCCTAGCTCTTTTTTCCCTATGCTATAGCTCTATGTTCTCCAAGTAACTGCTCACCTCTCCTGCTATAAGGATGGGCACAAGTGTGCAGGTAGGAAATGACCTGACAAGAAGAGGTGACATAGTGGGTCACCGAAAGCAGAGCTCTTTGAGCTTTCCTGCACCTGTGTGGGAAATCTATCCTGTCTTGTGATGCTTATAGGGCACAGTCTAAAAATATTAATCCATTTAAAAAAAAAAAAAAAAAAAAGGTATCTCATCTTAATCTGTTGTTAGTGGCAGAGGTAGCTGCCAGAACTACTTCTAACACTACTGCACCCTAAACTGCTCCTACCTCTGCTGTCTTCTGATACTATTTCCACAAATACAAAGTGTCCGTGGCGCTACTTTGCACTGGACAGTACCCATGTCCCTGCAGCCAGGCAGGATGTTTTTTTATTTATTTTTCCAATCTCTTTACTTTGTATCAAAGCAGACTCTGAAGGAAACCTGGTCTCTGAAGGGCAGCAGTGCAATTGCAAGCTGCCCTCCAACACTGCTGGGGCTGAATCTAGGTGACAGCTTTTCCTTACCAGTTGGTCCCAGCTGTACTGGAGGTCATAGCATCCTACCAGGGTTGTACCTTGTCCACCAGAGAGAGCAGCTAGGGTGTTCTGGGCTGTTAGCACCCCCAAATGCTCTTTAGTTCTGCCATGCTGACTCCTTTCAAGGTTGCAAAAATTAATGGCTTTATTCTCCAACTTCAAAAGAGTTTTTCTTCCCCTAACTCATCTAAGCAGAGTAAGCTCAAGTTACCACACCACTGCCATGCTAATGGTTCTGTGCATTACGTGTTTAGGTATTTGAGAGATCTCACAAGTCCCTGCTAAAGGGAATTATATTTAAAAAGTATCTTGTAATATTTAATGGCTGGTCACTTACATTGTCTCTGCAGCTTTAAAAGACTTCCAGCCTTCTTGCCTGAGCATGAATTTTGCATTTTGTATTCTGATCTCTGTATAAATAAGGCCAATATCAATGTTGGTGTTTCAACTATAAGGTGACTTCTAGGGCTGTCATACAGCTCTCCTTTTTTTCCCTAGGCACTGGTGTTCTAAAATGACACATCCATGTTTTTTCCTTTTTCGTCTTCAGCTATTGTGTTACCAAGAGCACTGTGCCAACGGATCTGAGTAAATCTGAATAATGGAGGTCTACCCTCCTGAAAAATGCCATTGCTGGAGAAGTTTCTATATACAAATTTCTAGGAGAATCTTAGATAGTGCTGTGAATTACGCTGTGGGCGAATCAAACAATAAAGGGGAGCTTGGCATATGACACTCTATCCAGTACTGTAATCAACAGTATTGAAGTCTGTAGACACATGGCTGATAATTTGAACACCGGTTTGTAGTGGCAACTGCTATCCCCATCTGTTTTCATGTGGCTCTGAATGACTTCATTTGATACTTATGTTCACTGTTTCCATGTACGCGTTGGAATGCAGCCCACTTCAGAAAACATGTAATTCAAATAACTTTCCCCAGGAAAGTGGGATCTTTTGAATGCATTCTTTTTTTTCTCTTTTTTTTTTTTTTTTTTGTTCCCTTCACATCCCTTACAGACAGTTGGTTATACAGGACCTGTGTAATACCAGAAGGAAGCATAGAACAGAGAAGTCTTGGGTCTCCTCCTTTATAAATATGTAGGGATTGCTTTTCACTGCCAGTTTCTGAAGTTGTAATGAGAGTAGAGGGAAGAGTAAGGAAGATAAAAGCTTTGAGAGCATTTGCCAGACACATGGAAAATGTCGAGTGGAGCTCTGCCTAGCCCTTTGTTGCTTCCAGGATTATCTTGTCCGTAGATTCGGGGTAACAAAAAATTGGTTGCTGTGAGTTGTCTGAGTAAGTTTGGCCATTTCTGCTCCAAGATAGCTGTGATGTGGAGGTGACTTCTACTTTAAGAATCTCATATGTCCAGTAGTACATATATAAGCCAGGCACTAGTGTGGTCCAGTCATGAGTACACCTCCTTCTCCTGCTGCAAAGGAGCAGAAATGAAATTTAATTTCACTCCAGAGCAATGCTGTTCACTTTTTCCAGCTTGGAAACTTTAGATTGACAGTTCAGAGCTAAATATAATCTGGCTGGCTACAGGGAGTGACTCAGATACAACAAGCAAGCCTGCCCTATCACTACTTCCAAAAAGCCCTGTTGGCTTTTCAGCATGAGTAGCAGAAGCAGGTGGGGAACTAGTCTGAATTTTAATCTCTTTCCATCCAGTTGTCCTGGCTCCTGTTGGCACAACTTACTTAAAGAATCAAGAGCCAGTCTCTGCTCTGAAATAGTTCTCGGGGCTTCTTCCTTCTCTAGCAAAACGGTCTCTGACACTGCAGGTAGAGTGTTGGTGTACCAGTCCAGCAACAGATTCTCCTGCCTGTGCCAGATATGAAGCACAGACCACAAACCATAGCATCCTCCTCGGCAGTGGGGTGGAGTGGTGAGTCATTGTGCCTATGAGCTTTGGAACAGCGACTGCAAAGTTTACAAGAGAAATCTTGACTAGAGCTGGCTTTATCAGGGCAGTGTTGTGCTGCTGTCATAGTTGTAACAGCTCAGAGCCCTCGGCTGCTGTGTAATTAGATCAGCACACGTACAAGCAAGTAAATCAGAAGGCACATGAAATCACATAACTTATTACTATATAAGTGAAATATAATAGAGCCTGGACCTTGTGCAACTACAGAATCAAGCTAAGCAAAGTCATTGCTGAGAGCTTGACTTGAAACAAGCTCTAAATACTTGGGAAAGTGGTTTGAGCAGGTGATGTTCTTACCCTGGTCCAAAAAAGGGACTTGCTGTTTATAGTCCAAAGCTGATCCACTGGATGGCTTGGTTTGCTTGGTAACTCTGAGAACAATAATAGAACACAAACCTCAGCAGTGACTCTCTTGCCAGGCCTGGCTCTTCTTCCATCAAGACCTTTATCCCATACTCCAGTTTATTCTAACTCTCAGGCATGCTTGCTTGGGGCTGGGCTTTTATCTGTTGTGCTGATGGTGGCAAGCTCCTTCTGCAGGTTGATAAAACTGTTTGGGTGTAAACCCGTAAGAAGGTTTAATCAGAAATAAGAAATAATGAAGTAACTTCATTACTCAACGTTCCCCTTCCTCTCCTATTTTACAAACCTAGACAAGATAATATGAAAAGCTAATTCATCTGAAGGCCTAGGCTGAGCCTTAATTTTGGTCAAGTGTCCAAGGGAGTGATCTTTTCCCTACAACTGCTTATTGGTTTCATCTGGTCTCAGGATTTGCTAACTCTGGGTCTGGTATCAAATGAATGTGTTGATTGCACAGGTAGGAGGGGTCCAGGTTGGCACGTGCTTCTATCGATGAGGTGCTGCTGAAACTCTCATTATCCTGAGCTATGCTCAGAAAGAGAACATAAAGACAAAGATCATCTAAATTCACTACTCAAGGTTGCTTCTTCGGTCGCATTTATTGCTTTATTTAGCTCCAGCCTATAAATCAGAGCTTGATAAAGGTCTTGACAGCAACAACTGATTTAATGCCTTACCTGCCTAGTAACAAGTTACCACTGAGCTAAGTGTTTGATATGTGGACACAAGTGATGAAGGCTCTGAAACGGGACACTTTCTCCTTTTTTTTCCCCTCTTCTCTCCAGATTTCTGAGTCCTCTGAATATGCTTATTGGCGGTACTGTGGTAGTGCTGGTGTTCATGGGGTTTGTGTGGGTATCACACAACAAGGATATACTCCGCAGGCTGAAGAAGCAGTACCCAACCACGTTTGTAGTCGTCATCATGTTGTCTAGCTACTTCTTGATCTCCTATTTGGGAGACGTCATGGTGTTCATGTTTGGGATCACACTTCCTCTCCTCCGTAAGTATTTTTCCTCTTCTCTGGGTGGGCTAGGGATGTGTGACTTGAGCTTTCTTATCTAAGTCTGCAGAGTCAAAATTGGCTGTTGCCTTTACTATCTCTATTTAAATGATACTAAAATAAAATGGCAGAGAAGGGGACACAAAACAGCACAAACCATCTTTAATATTATTATTAAATGGGTACCTGTGGTTACCTAAGCAGTCCTTGAGACGTCATCTTCTTCAGTGATGTCATGGTGTTGGAGTGTGTCTTAAGATGAATGCCACAAGAACTATGCATTCCTTGGGCATTATCAATTAATAAGTGTGTTTCTGTCACGCAGTGATGTTTGTCCATGCTTCTCTGAGGCTCCGGAACATAAAGAACAAGCTGGAAAACAAGATGGAAGGAATAGGCTTGAAGAAGACCCCGATGGGCATCATACTGGATGCTCTAGAACAGCAAGAGGATAGTATCAACAAACTGGCTGACTACATATCGAAAGTGAAGGAGTAAGCAGCTGCAACATGGCATTTTTACCTGTTGCAGGAGTGTAGTTTCTATTTACTATTGTTCAAGCTTGCTTTCAGTTTGTGTACAAAACAGGAAATGCACGTGGTACAGATTAATAATTGCAGGATACAGGTATTCTAGGGTCTTCAGGGCTCCTCTAAGAACATAAGAGCAGCAACTTTTTTTCTATTGTATAGCAAAACTTAAATGTGTTTGTCTCTTCTTCTGGGGGGGTAGAGGAGGAGGAGATGGAAACCTATGGAATGCAGTCTCTCAAACTGTCTCGTAGCAAATTTGTCTATTAAAAGTAACACTCCTTTCTTGTCAGTTCTATAAAACGGCAGTTTAGCCAGTTTATGCTGGGTAGTACCTTCAGGCTGGCACTGTGCAAGGTGAGCTGGAATGTATCAAAAGTAGGTATCTCTTGCATTCTCCAGATCCCTCACTTGAGTGGTCTGAATTGAGACCATGTTGCTAGCTTAACGGGCAGGCGTTAAAACTGTGCAATACTTGCAATGCGTATGGGTTCCTGTCCTCACCTCACATTCCTCCTTTAGCGGCTGGGAAACAGTCTAAATAGATCTAAGAGTGAAGAATATATATGGCACTGTGCCTCTGTCAGTTCTAGTAAAATGCACCTTTGGTTTCTCCAAAATCTCAATCTACAGAAGGTGCTTCTCTCTGCAGGAGAGCCAAACTTCCTTGCATACCAGCTAAACTCTGGCCAAGCATGGGATGAAAAAAGAGTTTTCAGATATGTTGGATGAGCTAGGTTTCTACCCTATTGATGTTTTTAAATACTGCTACTTTAGGACTTACATGTTCTGCTTTAGTCTAAATAGGCTGTTTTGTCCATGGAGGTGTATGTGTGTTCTTGAGGGTGGGTCATCTTTTTCTTTCTTCTTAATCAGAATGCAAAGATATAAGTAAAATATGCATCTCACTGATTCTGTACTTCTGACACTCTTCAAAGGAATAAACTGGATTTCAGGTTTACAAGTAAAAGCAATAAATGTCAAGATACAGATTTTGAAAACCCATTCCAAATTCATGAAGATACTTGCCTGTTATAACTCCTGAAAGTGGTGCAGGGGAGATTCTTTTATATATATATTTTAACTTAACTGCCAGCTGTGATGGAATTATCTTGATAATAGGAGTTTACCAACAATAGGGGGGGAAAACGTTGTCCAGGTGACACTTCATTTCAAATATTCTTGCATTTCTCTTTTCTAACAAAGTAATTAATTTAACAAAAAAGCAAGGATCCTTAAAGTTGAAGTTTTCTGTAACTTACCATGCTGTTTTCATAGTGAACTGTGTAGAAATCTGAACATGTCATTCCATTTAAGTGTTAAAGTGATCAGTATTTATTGAAAATGTCTGTATATTCCAGCTGAAGAGTCAATGGCCTGTTCCTCACTTGTAGCGCATGGTCTTTGTTTTTTGAAAACTGTTTCCACACTTAAAGAACATAGTAGCCTATGATTTCATCATTACTGTAGAATTTTAAAAACTGCAATTATGAAGAAAAATAAATGCTAATGGTGACTCCTGAGTGCATTTATTTCAGGTTGGGAAAAGTGGCTGGAAATTTGAGCTTGTCTCTGTTTCTATGGTTGATGGGACTCCCTGGAGTGCTGATGGGGGATCTGTCACCCTGCAGCTCATGCCGCAAGCCCATGCTTGTGATTAATCTGCTGGCTTTGAATGCTCTGTATCTGTATTAACTTTGCTGAGGCACGAGGGACCTCTGAGCTGCAGGAGTATTATGGCCTTGGTCTTGCATCTTTACAGAGGTGGAGTACTTAAGACATTTGTTCATGCTGTTTCGGTCTTTTATATAACTCTACTTAACTGGGATTTTACATTTCTTTTAATTACCTGAGAGGGATTTTTGCTTCTAGGATTACTGGGAGCTGTGCCTTGAGCAGTACTAGGAAGCCAGGTCTGCTGCAGTCAAACTAATGGTGTGATCTCCCTCCTCTTGTGATCACCTGAGAAGCTGCTCAGTGGGAGAACAGGGATCAGAGCAGGGCTCCACTGGTCCTGCTGGATAGAGCCTGATAATATCTGTCAGCTGCTGCAGCACTGCTGCTTTGGCTGCTCCTGGGCGTAGCAGTAGTTCGCACCTGGCAGCTTGAGCTAGAGATTATAAAGCACTAGACTTTATTTTCCTTTTACTTCCCTGTCCCAACTGCTGAAGTCTGAGCTGCCCTAGCCTGGCCTTGAAGCCAACATGGAGAGCAGCGTGCTCCAAGAGCTTTCTAGGGGAGTTGCTTTTTGCACTTGTCATTTGCTGCTGTCGTCCAGGTGAGGGCTTGGTTAGAAGTACCAAGTTCCTTTCCTTTCCTGATTTTATCCTTTACTGAAAGAAAGGGCTGTGTGAAACGAGTGCAGTGAAAATGTTAGTTCCTTCCTTTATGTCTCTACCATGCAGAAATAACTCTCCCTTCCCCCTTACATGATACTCAAAAACTACTTGCTATGTCTTAAGCAATACATCAACCAGGTTTCCCAAGTCTGCAGCATTACAGTTGCAGACAGAAGAGCTGAGAAGGAGCTTCACAAGTATGGAAGATGGAGATTGGAAAGAAAGCAGATGATAGATGCAGAAAGGACAGGGATAAATAAAAACTGGAACCAATGATAGTGGAGACTACCTTGATTTCAAAGACGTCCTAGACACTGTGGATACTACGGGACTATTATCATAAATGTGAGAAGGGGGAGCAGGGTGGGACTGGGATCTAGCTGCCAGGGGAAGGCTGCTAAGAGTTACAGGCAGGAGCGAGGAGAGACTCACCCAAGGAAATCCTGCCAGGAGCTGCAAAGCTCTACCTTTTGAGCAAGTGTATCAGCCACAGGAAGGCAGGGGAGCTGTGTGTTAGCAACAGGAAAGGCTTTGTTCTTTCCATATGCCTTATAGCTTTGATGGCATTCTCTAAAACAAACAAATGAACAAAAATATCTGATCTCTTGTGGATGTATTCCACAAGAGTGTGACTTACCTGTAGCTGCTTCACAAAAAAAGGCTTGCAGCAAAAAAATCTAATGTGATTAAAAAGGGAGAGGAGAAAAATTTCACAAAAAATATTAAGGAAAAACTAAATTGTGTATATGCAGGTTTAACCCCATCATATTCAACCCTGCTAGGAGTGAGACTTGCTATTCACACCCCATAACAGGAGGAATTACGAGTTTCTCAAACCACTGGCAAAGAGAGGGGTAAGGCTCAACCTCCTTCCACAAGAATAGTGTGGAGAGAGACCTGAAATGGCATTTCAGTGCACTCCAAGGTGGCTGTAATTAAGGACTATATCATGGACAGAAGTGAATCATGGGGCCTGAAGATTACAGCTCTCAAAGCAGAGCATAGCATCATCTTTTATATGCTGATCAGGTACAGCACCAACTAGACTATGTTCTGAAATAGATGTAGCTTGAAACCATCAAGACGAGGTATCCAATGTACCAGAGCAGTCGTTCTGTTCTGTGAGCATTTTGTTAGCCATGGAAGTGCTGCACACATCTTACGGAGAGAGCTTTATTTAATTTCTGTTTCCTTAGCCTAAAAAATGAAGCTGTATACATACATTTCTCATGGACAAGAGAATAACAAAGGAGCATGCGTGTGAAAAGAAAGATAAGATAAAGCACAGCATGCTCCTGCAGAATCTGACAGCAGAAGGACAACGTGGAAGCAAAATAGTTTGCTGACAAACTAGAAAGGCAAGGTTATTGATGCCTCTGAGAAAATACTCCCACAACACACTGGAGCCTCAAATCCACTTGGCAGACAGATGGCACTGGGATTGTTTGATACCTGATGGAAACGCTTAGCACTGACTTTTCCCATGCCAGCCATTTTCACCACACTTATAAAAGTGTGTATTGCAAGCTTTGTTCCCAAAGAGTCATATATACCACCTGGGTTCTGCAGAAAACATCTGCTGAAACAGTTGTAAGCAAAACGTGAATAGTCTTTATTCCAAGTTGTTTTCTTTGGGTCAGTCTGGTCTCTCACTCCAGCTGCTTTGGCAATGGCACCTGGACAAGGACAGTAAGTATTAGGAGGAGGAAATTTCTCAATCTTACTTCACAAGCCAGTTTAGTTTAATACAAACCTTCATAAACTGTCAAAAGATCAGAAATATAACAGCTAGGAGCTCCAAGGAGCCCTGATTAGGAATTTCTTTTGTTTGTAATTCCCCACCACTTGCTGTTTGTGATGCTTAAGGCCCAGTAAATCAATTTGCAAGCAATGAGTCCCACCATGGAGCAAACACCTAGCTCGGGTCAAGCAGTAAAACTCCATTTTAGAGATGAAGCTGAGGATGTTGAAGCAAATAAGGAGTTACCAAGATCATGTAGGCAGGTGAGAATAGCACCCTAATGCCCCAAATCCAAGCCATGTGGCCTGATGACAGAGGACCAAAATAAAAAAATAATAATAAATAAAACCCCAACCAAACATACAAACAAAAAAAAACCCAACCCCAAAACTCCAACACATTGCTTCATCTTTCCATGGGTTATGATAGCGATTGTTTTCTGGCCTGTTTAGGATGGCCCATGAATTGATCCCTCCATCCCAAACACCACAGCCCTCATTTATAAAAACCTCCCAAGTATTTTGGGGGGAATGGCTGGGGTTCCCTATTACTCACTGGCACCCAGCAGCACCCAGGTTTCTTAATCATTGCTGTGCAAAGTGAGGGCTGTGCCTGGCAAAGCACCGGCACCATCATCCTCCATCTCCTTGAACAGAGAGGAGGCAGCAGATCCCGTAGCAGTGACGGACCAACCTGCCATCACAAGCACCATCTTGGTGCATACAGATAAGCCATGACCTTTGCGAGGGCAGGTCTTGTCATCTTAGACATGGCACCAAAATGCAAAACAGACTGAAATCTAGAAAGGCCAGAAATGGCGAGGAGAGGCCCTGGCTGCAGCCAAGTAGGACTGGCCAGGAGAAACCACAGCCTCAAACTTGGTTTGGGGGCAGAACAGTCTACTCTCTCTGGAATTACTGAGGTAGTAATTATTTCTGTGTAAGTATAAATGAAAGCAAAAAGTGGCCCACTATATAAAGATGTCAATGTCAAATGAAATATGAATTACAAAACACTACTTGACCATTTTTAATTGTAAAGGATTTTCTGTCCTCTTTCTCTCGCCTAAGCAACACAAATGGATGCTTCAACACCACTAGCTACAAACAGATCAGCCAGCTTTTAATATTTCTTGAATAAAAGTATAAAGCAAGGAAATATAAAATTTCAGGAAAACAAAAGGTTAAATCTGATGGCCAGTATTTTGAGAAGTGGCCCATGAATTTGGAACCCAAGTAAGAGCAACACCAAGTGGTAGTTATAGCAGTTTGGGGCTTGGATTCTCAAAGCCATGATGATGTCAAGCTCATTTGCACTTCTGTTGTGACCACTGAGCACTTGCTGTGGCAAAGATTTACTTGAAAACAAATATAAAAAATCCTACAGTACCACTACTTTCTTTCTATAACCTTGCTCCATCTTCACTGCTAATGGATCCAATTTCTTTTTTTCTATTAGCACTAGAATTTTGCAGTTGATTTAAATAGGGAGGAAAAAAACTGAGCAGCAGAGGGTCACTAAATTATTACATTCCTTGGTACCAGGTGAGGCAGGCAGGAGCAAGTCTGCAGGCTGTGCATCTATGATACATTTCACTGTGGATGTATCAGTATGCCCCAGGTGAATGTGGCCCCAATCCTCCCTGCTTTTTATCAGCTTATTGATAATTTTTTAAACCTCATGATAGATAGATAGATAGATAGATAGATAGATAGATAGATAGATAGATAGATAGATAGATAGATAGATAGATAGATAGATAGATAGATAGATAGATAGATAGATAGATAGATAGATAGATAAATGAGAGAGAATTAACACAATCTGTACCTTTTGCCACCAAACAATATCTTAGAGGATCAGCTATTTTATCTGAAATGTTTTTAGGCAGCTGTAAAAATGTGTTACATATTCAGGCAGCTGAGAGAAAACATCTTTTACTCATCCTGTTGTTACAATTCAAAATGTAAGCTTCAAAGACATGGAAAAACATTGTAACAAGGGTTTTTGCAGTATCACTGTTATAGAAAGTAATTCTATTGAAAGAAAACAACTCTTAAAAAAATATTAAATTCCCTCTCACACTAAAGCTTTTAATTTCACTTAAACCAGATCGACTGAGGGCAGTCCCAGACGTGACTGTACCACAGACCCTTCCTGCACCCTGCAGCCGTGAAGGCGGGTGGTTACTCACCCTGGGCACCCACCGCGGGGGCAGGCAGAGGCAGGGGAGCACAGCCACAGCATTACTGGAAACCCAGTTCCGTAAGTGACCGTGGGCGAGCTGTTTTGCTGCCAGTGTTTCAATTTACCCGTTATTAAACGGGCCAAGTGATTGTGCTTTCTTGCATAAAGAGAGATAAACAGGGCTGCCGTAAAGGGTAACATGGTTTTTATGGGGGACTGAGGACAGACTAATGTGAAAAATAATACCTGTTGCTCTCCTGCAGCAATGATCTTATAATAGCATTTGCCTATCGTAACTAATATGCTATTACTGGTATGCTAACACTGAATTCCTGCGGGTTTGTTTACTCCCAAGTGAATTTCCTTTCTTTTACCTGTGTGGAAGCAGACAGGGATGGACGAGGCTGCCGCCCCAGCGCTTGCTGTCATTTCTCTCCGCAAGCCAGACCTCGGCCCTGCCGGCAGCAACAACCACCTGCACCCCGGGACCGGCAGCGTGATGCAAAAAGGCAACGACCCCCAGGGGCGCGGGTGCGTTTGAGAGCCCCGCTGAACGGCCCGATGTTTCAAACGACAGCTCTGGGGTGAGCGCGGCTCCCTCCCCTCGCAGCCATCGCTAAGCACATACCGGTTTAAGATAAGCGACGTTACTCTGACGGATGTCGTTCAGTAGCTGATCTCTCGGGGTTATTTCGACGAGGGGAGGCGGCCTTCTCCTGGGAACCGGTTTGAGCGTTTTGATGACGTCTTTGAGGTTGGTTTTCTCAGCGGGTTCCACGTACTTTGACACGGTGGGTTTGCGCTGAATCTTCTTCAGCTTGACCACCCTGAAGCTGAGGGGCTTCTCTCTGCATGGCTGCTCGGGGGCCGGCTGCCTCGCGCTCTCTTGCCTTTTGCTCAGAGACACAGCCGCGGGGACGGGTGGTTTCGGGGCTTGGGGGGGCTCGTGCATCCTTGGCTCAGGCAGCGGTCCCCCCAGCATTTCCCACATCCCGGGAGGCAACCCAAGTCCATTTTCCAGCATCGCTATCAACTCCCTCTGCTCTTTCATTTGCTGCTGCCTCTGCTCCTCTTGCCTCTTTTGCCTCTGCTTGTCCAGGTTTCTGCTGAGCAGGTTGGTCACCACCATCCTGGGCCCCGGCAGTTCGAAGTGGTACCCCATTTTAAGGAGGGTGTCATTGGCTTTCAGCAGCCTGGCGATCTCCATTTCGGCCTGGTGGCCCAGCATGCTCCGCTGGTTGTGAAAGCGGAGCTCCGTCAGCATCTCATTGTACTGCAGGCACCTCATGATAGCAACGATCCCTTTGCCAGAGATGAAATTGGAATCAATATTCAACGTGGTGATGCTCCTGTTCTCCCGCAGCATGTTGGCCAGCGCGAACGCCACATTGTCGTCGGCCCCCACGTTGGCCAAGCTAAATGTTTTTACGTTTTTATTTTTTTTCATGGCATTGACAAAGTCTATCAGCATTTCCTTGGGGATGTTTTCTATGTTGTTCAGGTTGAGCTCTTTCACATCTGGGTTGTTTTTTCGGACTTTCTCCAAACTCTCTTCCAAATTGGTTTGATTTCCTGAAGGCCTGGCACTTAGCTTCATGAAGCTGGTATCCAGCGCTAACTTCTTGGGGATGTTTAATTTTGATATTTTCTTTTCATTTTCATTTGGCTTTTCTGTGATTTCTCCAGATTCTGTACCTGGTTTCTTACTTATCTGATCATTGTGGTGGTTCTCATTGGCGTAAGACTCCTTTGTTTCCAATTCACTCTCACCTTCCTCTTCATCTTCTTCCTCCTCCTCTTCATCATCTTCCTCTTCTTCCTCTTCCTCCTCCTCATCACTTCCATCTTTCTTTGTCTCCCCAAACTGTGTTCCTGAGTTGGACAAGTGCTCATTTTTGTAATGTCTCTCTTTTCCCTCTGCTCCTGGCACCCTCCCGCTGGCCGCCTCACCACTGCCGCCAGCCTTTCCTTCCGTCTCCTCCGCAGAGCTTCTCTGAGGAAGACAAAACCTCATAGGTGAAATAATTGAACACAGCTTTGTGACATTAGCTTTCTGCTCAAATGAACATGTAGCAGCTGGATTTAGATACCTCCATGCCCTTGTATTATAGAATAATCCTTAAAAGTGTCATTGCCTGTAAGTCAGGGCTGTATTGGCTTGCTTGGGAACACAGGAACAATTGTTCTTAAAGTAGCTGTAAACCACTTTCATCTTTGACTTTTAAATCATGATAATTAATTCCTGTACATATTAACTGCTACATTAAGGTGGTCCTTGAACCCTTTTTGGGGGTAAGAGTCTCTGGTCCAAAGTCTCTTTCTGGACTTGGTATAATTTTTATCGTTTCCTTGATGAGAGAAAGTTCATTTCATATGCCACAAACCACTGGAAATCTGTATTAACCACTGACTGTTTGCTCAGCCCAAGGAGGAGGGAAGAGGGCACATTGTAACAACAGCAGAGTCATCCACCACAAGAGACAACAAGGCTGCCTGCTCTGATACTGCCAGAGCATCACCGCTAAGGAAGTGTATAACCAAAGATAAAGCAAAATATTAGCTCAGTTTTATTTTGCATCCAGAGAAGAAACTAGACTCTGCACGCAGCTGCTGCAAGGCAGTGGGACTTCTAGCATCAGAATAAAATTAGCTGCAAACTTCTGCCATCTCCAGAGACCCTCCTAGCTGAGATTTCTTTTTCTTTCAAACACCTTTTTGCAAGTGGATCCTCCATCACTGAGAAACACTAATAAAGCTCTAGTAAAGATCAAGATTTTTTCCTAAAAGACTTGCACTGGTTCAGCCAGGGCAGTGTCTTAGCTTGCACTTCACTGAAAGTCAGACAAAACGTTCACAGACACTTTTGCCCTCAGTGCTGTGGTTCCTATTTACCGTGGTAGTGGATGAGTTTAGTACTGAGATCTCCTGACCAGTTGTGAATGCAGCAGGCAGCTCTACACTCAAATTCCAAATTTAACCTCAGAAGTGTTAAAAAAAAAAAAAAAAAAAAAAAGTTGGTTCTTTGAGGGTAAGAGTGTTGAAGGAGGGAAAAAACCCACCTATTTCCCCCCTTCTCCAGAGGCAGCCCATGAAACCTGACCTGGGAAGTCCGTGGTGTACCATGCTGTCATGTATTAGCAAAACCACTAGTGTTTTAACAAAATAATAAAAATTAGTTACCTCACATTCACTTAGGTTCAGGTATAAGTGTTTCATCTGGCCAAGTTTCCATTCTATTAACCTATTTTTAAGAGTGGCACTCATTCTAAAAAATATGTAAGTATGACCTTAACTTTATTTCAAAGTCATAGGGACAGTAGAATAAATTGAAGTACTGCACTGAAAATGGTTGGGCTAGTTCATGGAGTTATCATGTTTGTTTGTTAGTGAATATTTCACATAGTTAAAATACAGTGTTTTGGGATTTTGTCCAGTATGGCATTAAATTCTGTCAATTAATTAAATACATATGATTAATGTAGTCTTCTATGGAAAAGCAGTATGGTGGTGTTCCATGCACAAAGACAAACAAATTTGAGTTACATCCTCCAAACTGATTTTATGACAATTTCTCAGTCATTTGCTTTACTGAAAAGGAATTAGGATTTCCTTATATTAAAAAGCTTAAGTAAATATTTAGGAAAAGCAATTAAAAAATTACTAACCCTGACATCAGTCCAAACAGGACTCTGACATTGCTGAGGCTTTTAGGATGAATTGAAATTTGTTTGTATCATACCTTACTTAAGGGACAGAAAGAGAAGCAAGTTAAGGTATTAAAAACTATAAAACAGACCCCACAGCAGATGCATGATAAATATTTGTGATTTTTTTTGTTTGTTACCTCAGAGGGCAAGAGGGTGACGGGAACTCTCTCATCCTCGAGCATGCGTCTGGATGCCTTCTGCCAGTACAGGTAGTCAACCAGGGACCTGTGGTTGAAGCTCCCCGTGGGGGGTTTCTCTGTCTGATCCCTCTGTATCATCCCAGTTGGGACTTCGGGGTCTGGGGCCATAACTTCCATCTCACACTGCAGCTCCTTTAGCTCCTCGGGGGACAGGTTTGCCAGGATTTCATCTTCATCAATGTCCTCAGGACACACTTCTCCGTCAGAGTTTTGGCCTAGTTCAGACATGTTTGTTCTTCTTTCCTTCCTCTACTGCTTTTTAAACCAAAAAAGAAAGATAAATTTTAAAGGATTTTTTTTTTTTTTCCCCTCACTAGCAGTAAATCCACAGCTTCATGTTTTGGTCATGAGCTGTGGCAGCTCTCAGTCTCAGTGCGGGAGACAGACCGTGCAGCTAAGTCTATATTAAGCTGCACTTGGCTGGATAAAGAGAATTTATGGCGATGCTGCCATACTCCATTTTCAGCAACCTGTCAGCTGTGCAAACCCTTCTGACATTTCAGTGCAGCTGGTGCATCCCCCATTGAGTAAGGCAGGAGACGGACATTTTCTAGAGGATTCCTGGGGCGCTACTCCTTTCGGCGCTTCACCCCAGGCTCGAATCGCTGCAGGTGGGTGGAGTGACATTAATGGTACCTGTGAGGTGTGCAGGTGAAATTCTGCACCGTGGGAAGAATCAGCACAACACCTCTGTATCCGTAGCATTGCAGATACCTCAAAAGGGCCGGGGCCGGCAGGATCTTCACCACCTTTAGCCAGGTCTAAGCCCTGACCGAATATTGCAGGTGGTTTTGGTGTGAGTGAAGCCGTCTTGCAATTGATGGGATCTCCCAAACACCAGACCCTGGTTAAGGGAAAACCCTCCAAGATGGAAAAAGGCCAGTGAACAGTTGGTACAACACACACCCTGTGCTCGGGGACAGGGTTCTGAGTGGGGAAGGGCACCAACCCTTTGAACCAGCCTGAGCAGTCCCGTAGGGAGCATTTCCCACAGCACATCCATGCCCTGCTCCCATCCAGGCTGCCCAGGGGCAATGCCAATGCCCCGTTTTTTGACCAGCCTGTCTCTATCATGGACATTATTTGCGCTGTCAGCAGATCTCAGCTGACAGTTCATCTTAGGTTCATCCTTTTCCTACACTTTATCACTTTTTATAGAAATAATAAGCAACTACAAATATTTACTTTGCTAATATTCATAGAACTGATGTAATTGAAGATTACTTTAAACCCTTCAAGTGTCTGTTCCATCTAAGTACCACCTCCTTCTTGGTTCAGAATATTTTACAGGTTTCTGAATTTACACAGCAAACCAGAAAGCCATAACTCCAACACCATTGTGCTTATGGACATTTTATAAAAGCCGAGTAGCATGGGCAGATAACTTTTCTGCTACAGTGCCATTTCAGTGTGATGCAGTTTGGACTGTTTGTTGGATTAGGAAGATTTCCTCACAATTTCAAATATTCTTTGCAGGGAGTATCAAACCAAATCCTCACCTTGCAACTGCAAATGCATCTTTCATAGGAAAGAAACCACAGTTGAGAGGCTGTGAAACCAAGCCCCACCAATTTTTAAGCCATATTTCTCGTTACAGACTCAGCCACGCTCTGCTGGAGTCTGCCAGCAGCAAAATAGTCTTTGCATGATGATGGTCTCTCTTTGCTGTGTTTAGTAAGAAGAAACATGGTGTTCAGAGCCCTGTTAACCTCTATTAAAAAGCCATTATCCAAAGGTCCTCATTTAATTAATGCTGTTACACAGCAGGGAAGAAGGCAAAAATTTCAGAATTAAATAAGTGGTGAAGGAAAAGTAACAAAAACCCAAGCCAAGAATGTAGTGGCTCTGATTTGCTATTTGGTATTTCAGGGGACATCCTTATTTTATATTATGCAGTAGCAAGCACAACAGCAGACCCACACATCAATCTATCTGGTCTAGCAGTTTTAACTCCCAGCAATTGCTATCCATAATAGAGTCCATAAATGGTTTCCTGATGTTATCAAATAAATCAATGCTCTTGGGTAGCTGGTATTTTATTCTTCCAAACGATGCTGTTGGGTCACAGAAGCTGTCTGTTCAGTGGTTACTTATCTCTTGCTAATTTCTTGACTGTAAATAAAGCCCCTGGCCACCTTCTTGTATTTCCATGATTTTCAGCCAGGACATCTTCAGCCATGGTCTTGCCAGATCTGCTAAGTTAAGTAGGGTCAAACCCATGAAGTCCTCTCAAGAAGGAAAACAGAGATACTGAGATTACTATTGGGTATTTGAAAAGCAAGTTTTCTTCTAAGTAGAAACATATATCACTTGTCAGTACCATGATTAGGAAACACTATACTTCTGGGAGCAATGCCTTCCCCATCAGATGCAGAGTGAAGGGCTGCCTGATGACACCTCTCCCAGTGACACGGGTGCTAATCCCACAGATTTCCAAAGTGGGTATCACATTTTGCCTACTTTAGGTCTCTCCTCCATAAATTACCTCGAGTTCAGGATTCACTTCCTTCACTAACATGTTGCTTAGTGTTTTGGTGCACTGGAAACAGCACGTTAAGGCAACAAATGACACCATCCACGCTGGGGACACACTCATGGCCAAATCTAGAAGTCTTTTCCAAGGCAAAACTCACATCTTCTTCCCAATAACATTTGTGGGTATTCCCTTTAGAGCTTTCCAAAATAATCACTTATTCCTCAACTTTCATTAAGACAGGAAAGCTACTTCCATCAGTAGCACCCGTTATTTTCATGCCAGTTTGACACTTGGCTCAGGAATCCCCGGACTAATAAGCTGCTGCACAAGGTGCTCTGTTTCCAGACAGCAGAGAGCTGTGCCAGCACCTACGCTCAAATCACAAGCACAGGACAAGAGGTACCTTCAGCAATCACAAAGCGATCCCTATAGGCAGCAGCTCAAAATCCATGCTAAGTAGGTACCTAAAAAGTGTTAAATAAAAGCACTTTAAGAGCAAACTGGTAGAAGAAAAGGTTTGCCTTTGGTAATGAACAATTCATACTTACTGCTTACTGTTTATAAGGCAGATACTTGCATGTGGAGGAACTCTTGCATGAAACCCACCAGGCTCTTGTGCAGGACTGTTTCACTTCATTAGATTTTTCTCATTTGTTCACTTCCTTCAAAACTTCCAACCTATCTATCTTGAAAGCAAAAGAGTTGACAAGTTTTTAACTCAAATATCAAGAGAGGTCAACCCCTGTGTCACCATTTGACATGAAGCAGGACATCAAACCATGCTTCATGTGCCTAAAATGCGTTCTATTTTTAAGGTAATTGATGGGACACATGTTGATGTTAAGTGCTTGAAAGCAATTTCTACAGTGTTGGCTTCCATTTTTTTTACTTATAAAATCCACACATTTATTTTCCTTTATTACCAATCTGTAGCGTTTCCAAGTGCCAAGGCATTAACTGGAACCAGCTGGAGAATGTGCCTGTGTAACATAACCTTGCATCACTTTTAAGAAACTTGTAGGCTTGATAGGGCAGTCTAAAATTGACAAATAGTAGCATACACCGAGCATGTCCAGCAATGCAGTGTAACGTAATATGGGGATTATAAAGGGTCAGATGATGCGATCGTAACAATAACAACCACTAAGTAACGAAAGCAATCATAGAGAGACACCCTGTGGGAAAACCACCAGGGATCATCTTGGGGGAAAAAAAAAACCTCACCACACTTCCAGACTTACGCATATAAATATATCAGATTAAGTTTGTTGTTTAAATAGAGTAAGGACATCTGACTTTTGAAGTATTTGCCCAAGTCGCTTGGCAGGGAGCTGCGAAGCCAAGCCCCCATGTGAAGCAGCAGGCACGGCGGTGTCTGGTGTGGGGATGGGATGGGGCAGCCGTCACCATAACCTTTTGAATGAGTGACCTCCATGTTTATATGAAACACTGAATTCAGCACAAGCCAGACCAGATAAGAAACAGAGTCATTCTAGGAAACAATGTCACCCTTCACATTAAACAGAGCGTGTCTTTCTTTCATAGCATCCAAACCTATCAGAGCCCCACACCTCATATCATCCTGCCACTAAAACGTGCCTGTGGGTAATGATGCCGGCAAGGCCATGTGGAAATTTCGTTATGTATGCACGGGGCACGTCCTTCCCTAACCTCAGCCTGGGAACAGGTGGAAGGATTTCTTCTAGAGTTACCCAGCAGAGCCCTGTCTGGCTGCAAATTCTTCTGCATCTGCAGCTCTTCGATGATACTCTAACCATTAAATATAAATTGAGACTCATGCCTGCTGCGCTTGAGATGGGCAGGAGATACCCCAGGGGACAGAGCACATCCCTCTGCAGTCAAGGACTTGCTGAAGGATTTATGGTGATTCCCTTCATGAGGGACAGACACGGATAATGAAGTTGGAGGGATGGCAGGAGATGTTTCTTGGTTTGAGGTCTTGCTTCTCCTTCATGAAGGCCCTGACATCTAGGTCCTGTATCCTCCTGGGCTACCAGCACCAAATGCAACTCACACCATCCTTCTTTCCAAGGAGGAAACTTCACATCAAGTTTGACTTGCTGCATCAGACTGTGGGGTAATTGTCTTTGATGATAAATTCTGCCCTGGGAGATGATCCATGTGGTCTTGAATCTGTGTCTAACAGCTACAAGGGGAAGGGGAAGGTCCTGCCAGAGAAGGCAGGGGGCTGTGCATCAGACAGGGTGTCACCACCCTTACCTGCTGGTAGCGTGAGCGTCACTGCAACATTACCTACGCCAAGATGAAGGTCCATTTTCTCACTGCTTGGTGAAAGAGCAAACATCCATATATGCAGTTACCCAAATTACATAAATCCACGTGCTAGTTGATTGTAATGAAGGCTGCACTAAGCAGGAAAATGTGGGCTGCCCCCAGGGTGGCACAATCCCTTCCGCTGCTCTACACAAATACCACATTCACTGCTTCACTTGATGGAAAAGCTGGATTATTTCAAATCCATCCAAGGAACGATGCTGGGCTGTGCGGTTGGTGCCAGGGAGAGATGACATCCAGCATGGTGTGATAAGAAAAAGCACACAGATCTGTTTATGTCTTCACACGTTTACGAAACAAAATAAGATTATTTCCCTACCACCACCATATTTATCTCAAACAGCTGCAAAAAGTGACAGAAATAATCTGAAAACCACTCTAGGAAGTTTGTTACCAATCTGATAAAACATTCCTAAAGACATGGTGTTTTTCCACTAGCACATGATCCCTGGGAAAAAAAAAAATCCATGGAA